CAGCCATGAAACTTGCACTGGTGTGCCTGCTCGCTATCGCAACTATCGTCTACGTGTCCGCACGTCCCGACGGGTACACTAATAGATACGACAATATAGATGTAGACCAAATTCTAAATAATGATCGATTGCTGAAGCGATATACGGACTGCTTGTTGGAGAAGGCTAACGCCAGGTGCCCGCCTGAAGCTATTGAATTAAAGAGTAAGTACTGTGTGTACATATTCACAATTATAATACAAACTAAATAATAAGTATATCCGTCACTGATCAACAATTATTAACTTTCAATATCTTGGAATTTTTAATTATTTATAAAAATGTTTCATTACTTCACTAAATCACGTAATACGAAAACAAGTTGACGCTTTAAATCATAATAATTTTATAGATTGTCATTTATGAGCTGCAATTTAAAGTCATGCACACATTTTTGCTCGTAATTGTTGTTTTTATGCGCCATATATGTAGTTCGATGTTGACAAGATTTAATTAATCTTGTCTCGATGATGCAATGAAGAAAATGCTGCTTAGAGAAGCAGAGTTTTTTGCGACACTTACGTCACGTATCAAGAGAATTTTATTTGCATTTATGGAAATCTCCTCTTTAATGATCTTGAATAGATTCTATCAATTCTTGACTAATGAAAATTCAGTTAGTTTAGAAATGTATATTAATAGATGATGATTTGAAATAGTAATACGCAGTATGAGATTGATTAAAGAACACTATTGAATAACAATGTTGATTATTCAATGTTAACAATGTTAATTATCCAATTGCTCTCAATATCATTAAATAAACTAAAAAAATATATATAAAAAATATATATAAAAAATATATATTTCCATTACAGAAGTCTTAAATGAAGCACTAGAAACTGAATGCGCGAAATGTTCGGAACATCAAAGGCAAATCGTGAGGAAGGTGATCAGATTTCTAGTAGAAAACAAGAGGGACTTATGGAACGAGCTGAAGGCGAAGTACGATCCGGAAGGGAAATACGTAAACAAATATGAAGATATGGCCACGAGGGAAGGCGTTCAACTTTAATTGATAATCTAACGAGAAAAACCAAATATGAACATATGTCGCGACATGTATTAAAACGGCGCTAATTGCCTTATTGTCCTTCTGTCTGTATTTCGACGTAATTAAGATGTAACACGCACACACGAGTATGCAAATAAAATATCGTTCGTAATATATGCGTCATGATGTATTCCGCGCGCGTTTATCGTCGCGTGTGTCCTCGTTAGTCCACCGTACACGGAATCCCCCGGCACTCTCCTCACTTGAATCCTAATCACACGACTTTATTTACACGCGGAGAAGAGTAGCTAAAACAAACTATCATTGAGCGGAAGCTTTCCGCCAGCAGCGTTATATGACAAAAAACTTCCTCTCCGAAGAGCGCCAGACGCATCGAGTGCGTCACATTTGCAAATTGACTTTTTATATTCACTTAATCAATCCTTAGTCAATCCTGTATCATTAATCAAGTTGTTAGTTAACTATCTTAAAAACACGCACCACTGTTTGAAAAATACTGCTTTACATTTCTTCATTACTTTTGTAAAATATAAGTGTTTTAACGATATCTTGAGATTTGTTATTAAAAAATTGAAATATTTATTTAAAACGATAGAATGTTTGTAATATACATAAATAACTTAAACTTGTATTATAAATTAGACTCCCAAATTTACAGCAGGCTGTGTAATCTTTATATTAAAAAATGTCAAAGACACGAATAGACAGAAAAATACGCAAATGTAAGTTGAAAAAAAAAATTGAAACGCAAGCAAGCCCTCGCGGAAAAACGACGTAAAATCAAATTAATTTATTTCATTATTATCGGATTCACTTTAATCGCGGCTGAAAATCATCGTGCCGAGCCTCATACTCGTCTGTATCGTCATCCGTCTCGCCGATGTCCGTGCAGGCGTAGCAAATCTCACCGACATCGTGCCAGCACTCGGGACAGTGGATGAAGGGACATCCGGGCGTCGTGCATCTGTGAAATTGCGAGCCTTTTCTGGGCTCCACTTCGCCGCAGACGAGACACCTATGACGCGCACAGATGAAAAACGCGAGCCAGCCGCAGAACGCCGGCCAGCGTTGCCTCAGGGCGAGCCACGGGTCCACGTCGTACTCCAGCCGGCGAGTTCTGACCAAAGACCTGACCTTGGCCCGCATGAATCTATTATCGAAGATGCGAGCGAGTTCATGTTTTTACGAATCCACAACGATTCCGATGTTGTTTCTCGAAGTAATTGTAGAAAATTTCAGATTATTCGGGCAGATCAAGAGTTTGAATATATTCTTAAGTATATATTTAATCTAACTTTTACCTGGCGTGGCCGAGTCGACGTCTCAAGCTCTCGTTGTAGAGGTACAGCACGCGTCTCTTCTCGCGTTTCCGGTAGAAGAACGAACAGATGACGCGTCGCAGTCGCTGGGTGTAAGCAGCGGTGAATAACATTACCAAAATGCCGAGATAAGTCGAGTAGATCTTGAGGATCACATAATTCGGCACTCTGCTGGGCTTCGGTAGGCACGCGCTGTTCGACATCACAGTCTTCACTCGCCGCTTCACGTTGAATCCTCGTATAACGCTACGTATCAAAGACGCTATCATTCCGGTCCCGCGAACCTCCAAAATCATGTCGTGATGCCCCGCCTAGAAAAATTAAAAGAATTAAGATTAAAAGGGTAGAAAAATTACAAAACTTATACAAAACTAAAGTAAAAATTATTTTTATTTTAAATTAAAATTTATTTAAACAACAAAATAGATGACCATTAAGTGATCTATTTCAGATACATTAGTCTCTTATTATTATTATTTAATACTCTTATTTTTTACTGCAGAGCTATGCGTAAAAAATTATATAAATATCTTGCGCAAAAATAAATTTTTTTTTCACATTTAAATTTAGAAAATAATAAATACAACTAAATCATAATATGAATTTCTCGCACCTGAGTGTATTCCATGTGAGCATATCTTCTGACCAAGTCGAGTGCCTCGAAGAAGAGCCTGTCTAGTAATACGAATGTTGTCATGCTGATCATCTCAAGGATCAGCTTCACCGTTTGGCCGGTCAAGTGCACCCGCTCGACCTCGCTCGGCTGCAGGCTATACGGATTCACGAACTTCGATCTCTCAATCTTCTTCAGAGGCAGCAAGGTCAAGCTGCCGCGTGCCTTTCGCCTCGCGTCGATCTTCCGGAAATACGACGTTACGTACACGTTATCGTGCTCGATGTCGGTTAGATACTTGTCATTGTACGTCTGAGCGTTCAGAATGATTCTCAAGAACACGAAAGACAGGCATCTGGATAATTATGTAAAAAACATATATTTTATCTTCTAATAATAAATTAAGCCGTGCCAAATTTTTTTTGTACAGACAACAATTTTATATTAAAAATGACACACATATCACTTTATTAAAAAAAATAATAATAAAAAAATGTTATTAAGCTGTCCAAAATTTTCATATTTCTACATACTTTTTTCTTTTTTTCTATTTTCGTATAAAAAGATTACAATGGATTCGCGTTGCTAGATTATCTTGGAGAGTTTAATGATACCTCTTAATAATCATCATCACCGATTCGAAGATCTTCTTGCGCGCGTTAAACTCGTGCATCACCGCCTGGGCAGCGTCCGTGGCATCGTGAAGATCGAGGATCACCGGCATCTTTTTCACTTTGTACTGCAACTTCGCCTCCTTGAGACTTTTGCTGAACGTATCCCTGGCTCCTTCATGAAGAGGAGAAGATATCTCCGAAACGTGTCGCGTAGGAATGCGCCCTTAAATTTGAATAATCGATTCATGCAAATTGACATTTAATCACTTTTTAAAGCGACGTAGCCCTCGCCGATGCCGGAATCCACTTTCCCTTCGGGATCGCAGATGTTAGAGCCACCGAGGGCTTGCACCAGATTGCACACGAAGGTGAGCTTCATCGGCCAGCATAATAACCAGGCTGCGAAGACTGATACTGTGTCGTAACACTTGTCGTAGGCATCACCGAACATGTCTCTGAAAAACCTCGCTGCTCTTAACATTTACGGAAGCTACAATACCAAGCAAAAATGTAGAAGCATAAAATTAAAAAAGTATAAAATCTTTAATTCAAACCTTCAAATAGAGAAGAATGTTTCATTGATACTACAAGAAATTTATAGTGGTAATATTTTCACTAATTATTAGAATTGTATAATAAAATAAACGCGTATATAACTATTTTCATTTTTCACGAAAACTATCGATAAAAAAATTTATTCTATATTTTTTTGTGCCACAGAATCATCTTTACATCGATTGTACTTTGATTGGCATTGTTATATTACTGTATTTGTATAGAAACAAACTTAAATAAAATTAAACAAATTTGAAAAATCAAATAACTTATGAGGAAGTAATTAAAGGAATGATAAACTAGAATTCATGTTTCAAAATTATGTACAAAATGCACGAAAACTGGTTTAACAATTTTAGCGCCGACTGTACGCGAAGTTTATCGATGTTATTTAGATTAATATCATGTAAGTAATATCTTGCCTGCAACGTTCCGTGCCGCGACTAAGCTGTTCCTCGCAGCGCGCCTCGATCTTCTTCTTGTACTTCGCCTCGTAAACATCCGCCTCAGACTTCGCCTTCTCGATCTCTTTCTCATGTTTCTCCTCGATTTCGTCGCTGCGCTTCGTATCGTCCTGAAGCTCGTCCAAATAGTCGTTCTCCTCTTTCAAACGCTTCATCTCTTCCTCGCCCTCGATTTCCTCGACTATCGGACTCATCAAATCCCTCACCGAGGATAAGGTATCCTTCAATTCGCTCGCATCCGCTTTTATAGCGAGCACCGCCTATGTGTCGTTAGTGAGCGCGACGGTAATCGATGGTTTAATAGCTTTGTTCGATGAATATTTTCAAAGTTCCGCGATTTTGCAGCGTTATTATTTTAATAGAGTGGACACCTGCTGAAAAGGCTTGAACATGAGATCGTAGCGCGTCTTACTGAGATTGTATGTCAGCTGCGTCGTGCAAGCGAAAGTTCTCACCACTTCCTTGCCGTTGTACGTTAAATTGAATATCGGTCCTGCGATCACGTATCCTAGGACGAGCGCTCTCAAAACGTTGCGTCCGGAACGACCGAGGAAAGTTGGGATCGTTAAAAGACAGATGCATCTCACCTGTATTTAAAATGGTAAAACTCTATGTAATACTATTGTAACACTATGTAATTATTATTTAAGTCTCTTTATATTAATAAATAATAGGTTGTTTATTGTAAAAGAGTTTGCACATTTTTTATGTAAAATTTATATAATAATATTATATATAACGTTATATAAAATTGTTTGCCTTTATCGCAGATGTAATTAACAAATTCCTTGGCAAGAAATGATGTCAAGGAATGTAATTATTTAAAAACTGCGTATACATGTTAATTATTATTTTATACCTTAGTTTTTTTATCACCGTATTGAAAACTACATCTATGTATTCATTCAACAGATATTTACAATACGATTGATGAGGAAATGTACGTGACATGGGTATATATTTTGCAATTATACGTGACAACACAGTTAGATTCATGTAAAAAATATAGCACGTTTGGATTTGTAAAATATGTAAAATATAGGAAAACAATGCATCATCTCAAGCCTCAAAAAATTTATGTTTTACCGAGAATTATCCAATCACACAAAAGCACACAATGCACAATGTTATTGATAGAAAAAAAATGAATGTAATGCAGTATGATAAAATAACATTGCAAAAAAAAATTATAAACGAAATGAAAGCTAAATCGAGAATAAAGTAAGAAAACAGATTACTTGTATCGATGATGCACATCCTATCGACAACATCACGACGAGGATAGCTCCCAGAGAGATACTGGTGTATGCGTCGAATTGTAGATCGACGATTATGCCCTCGTAAAGCACGACAGCCGCGACAAGCCCGAAGAGAAATCCGATAAAGGTCCTTGCTTTTCGATGAGTGCCGATCGGATCGTAGCAGATGTGAAACAGGGTTGGACATTTTTTCAGATAATATTTCAAGAAATCCCTTCGGATTCCCTCGATCAGACGACCGCAGCGATTAAGCCGCTCCAAGCCGGGCATCGCTCCTTCCTGTTTGCGAAGTTAAAAACTCTTACTAAAATATAAGCTACTTTGTTGCAGATTATGAAACGCGAAACTCTCCGGCTAGTCTCTGAAATGAGGCGAATGTCCATCGAACAGAATCGATTTTCCTCGATTGCAAATTTTTTTTTAATTTATTAGAGGATACATAGTTGGCTTGGATACAATTTTAAATTCATCTATCATCATTATTTATTCTCGAAAAGTTTTTTAATTAGTGGATTTAATTTTCTCAAAGAATTTCGTCTTTGTATAAATTATTAACAATAGCAACGTTCAATTAAAAATTTTTATTACAATATAAATCGACGTGTTTCTTAAAATTTATAAATTGTTGCCAAAAAATAAGTTCAAAAACAGAAATAATTATTCAATAATTTGCAATATATAAATGTAAAACAGAAATATCCATCTTAGCTTTACGAGACGTTAATTATACACTTTTATGTCTCAAAAGTAGGACACAAAGATTATTGCCGAGATTATAATAGCAGTTATACGAGAACATTTCCGTGAATCAATTTTATGTCCCACAAACGGGACACATGATAGCGGCATTGCAATTACTAATAATTTCTACAAGGACAAAATACTTCAAGGAACTTAAATTCATGAATTAAAGAAATTTCGCGAGAGTGGATAACGAGATACTGATACAGTCATGCTTTACACAAGTCGTCTAAAAGTCGAGGTTGCGTGATGCATCGTCTACAGAATACGAAAAAAGAATTCAAATATAAGAATTTTTTTCACGTATGACACATAAATTCCTTAATTATTATTCTGTTTACTTCTATGTTTTTACATTTCATAAAAAATATAACAATTATTACGTCATTCCAAGCGAAATTCAGTCATCATCACCTTTATTACCAATAAATACTTTATCAATTATTGTAATTAATTCATTATATTTTTACTAATTTATTTGAATAAGAAATATTTTCCTAAATTAATCGAGTCTCATTATATATGTGATACAACATAAAATATATAATAATATGTAAATTATTTTTTCTGCATATAATTATATTAGAACAATCTGTCGCAGTTCTTAGATTAATTTCATAGTCCGCAATAAAAAAAATCCATGCAAATTTCTAAGGACAAATGTCTATAATGCTCTGCACAGGAAGTGGCTTCATCGCGTATATTTTTCTCGATAAATTATGGCGAGAATGCACGAGGAGCGATTTCGTGCGACTAACGAACCGTGTCCGAGCCCCTTATAAGACACCCGAACTAATGAGCTCCATGAGCAGTTGAATCGGGAGCGACGCATCAATCTCGGCCCGGTACTACGATGAGGCATCTAATCGTCGCGCTTCTCACCGTGTGCGCCCTTTCGTCCACCGCCGTTTTCGCCGAGGAGGCGCCGTACACCACGAAATTTGACAATGTCGACGTGGACTCGATAATAAACAATGAGAGACTGCTAAACGGATACGTCGGCTGTCTGCTCGATCGGAATCCTTGCACCCCGGACGCGGCAGAACTCAAAAGTAAGTAATCAAACGGCAAAAAACGTTCAATTTTTTAATCCTTTTACATGCTCAAAAATATCACTGAGACAGTTTCAGTAAAAACAAATTGTAAAATTATATCCTTTAAAAAAATCCTTTTCTAGTCATATTTTTTTACACACACACACAATTATTTTTCTACAATAATTCAAATCCTTTAAAATTAAAATTTCAAAAATCGATTTATCTTCGATAAATCACGGCAGAATCGTAATTGTAAAGTATCTTTTAGAGAATCTGCCGGATGCATTAGAGCACGATTGCGCCGGATGCAGCGAGGCGCAAAAGAACGCGGCGGACAAAATTTCTCATCATCTGATCGACAATAAGCCGGACGATTGGAAGCTGCTGGAGGACAAGTACGATCCCACCGGAGCGTATCGACGACGTTACCTAGAGAACAAGTCCCGGGAGGGTGGCAGATTCGACTAAATCGTAAACAGTCACAGTCCGCAAAATCCGATCCTTAATGCTGACCTTGGCTACTCTTCTGGACTTGATTGCTTATTGTGATCACACGGCAGTTTCACTTTACGTAACGCGATTGCGTAACGAAGAACCCTGCGTCGCGTTTCGACCTTCAGCGATTTTTCCGGAAATTTTTATCTATCGAGAAAAAATATCCCGAGAAAACGTTTGAGTTTCGTGTGACAATTTTGCATTAACACACAATATTCTCTCTCGACACTTCACTTGATCTTTGAGTTAAAACATGCAGACATATGCGTATGCATATAAGTTTATTTTACTTATTGCTTTGAGGGAATATTTCATTTGAAAATGAGTAGATCGAAGTAAATGTCCTTGAATTAACATAAGTGAGTCATAACTAATAACAGGTCTTTTTGTCCACATTGTAATGTATATAAAAAATAACTTATTAACACTTCGGCATTCATAATACACAGGCAAGGATTTATCAATCATTCATGAAAAATGATTTGAGATCAAAAATATCCCAGCGGCGCGAAAATATTTCTTTAACAAAATATCAAATAATTTACTATAATTGATCATAATTCTGCAGCACGTAGAGGTAGATGAAGCAATCTAAGCATAATCATCCTTGCATAACGATAAAAAAAAAAATTATTTCTAATCCACAATATATACCAACGATGATGAATAAAAAAAGTAAAAGAAGGAATAAACATGGTTATTCAACATAAAATTGATTGTATAAATTTACTTCATCTTCCCTTTATCTCTTTTTAATTTAATATCTATGTGACTCAATTTATATTATTTACAGTCAAATCCGCATTTTTTCTTGAGATTTTATTTCTTTTCTAAATTTTTTCACTCACTTTCTCTGTGATTAATTGTGAATATCCACACTTCTTTGAAATATTATCGAGTACTGTCGGTGGCTACCGGTTTTAATATAATTTTATTAAATAATAATATTTGTTAAAAATAATGATATTTCTTCTTTATCGGTGACTGTACGATGAGTACCCATATCCGTCGGTAGGTTCCGCTTCAACATTATATTCCAGTTGTGTTTCGCAACTGCGTTACACTTCGTCTCGAAGCTATGATTTTATTTATTAAAAATATTCCGGAATTTCTTTGTTTTCTTTACCACATCTTGATCACATCCTTTCCTCAAACTTATTAATGTATTTCATAAAATATATAATGCATCCTCATATTATAATAAAAATATTACACCGTTATAAATTATTATAGCTACACTATCTACTACAATAAATATCAGTGCAATAATTCTTTTTAAAAATAATTATTGTGATGATTTATTTTGTAAAAAAAATTTCGACCAAATCAATCCTGCGTTCAAAGCCCAACAACGACGTTAAGCGCGGTGATGCTTAATCGTTCGAAAAGACTTCCTCGTGCTACCAACAGAAACGCGACGAAGGACAGGCTAAGATCTCTCCCGGGCGATCCTTTCTGTAGTCTCGGATTACCAAAAATATCTCATAGAGCTCGAATATTCGGCGCTTAACGCGGGTGGTCATCACGCTAGGACAACCCTTTGCGTGATTCTCGGAAGCTCGAGTTCTAAAGAGAAGAAAAAAATAAAAAAAAAAATAAAAAAAAAGGTACGCGTAATAAACCCACCTACAGAGAGAGCACATGCAGAATCTACATTGTCTGGAAACAAAACCAAACCAAACAAAACAAACAAAAAAAAAAAAAAAAAAGAAAAGAAAAAAGAAAAAAAGAGGAAAAACCTCTCGAAGTTTGGAGTGATCATGCAAAGTGAAGAAACGAGGATAGAACCGAACCCGGCTGTCAGCCGACGACGTGTGATCAAGAGAAATCTCCGAGAGATCCGAAAGGCGAGACGAACAATCGCCGCGCAATTTATCAAGCTTTCCGTAACGTTACGTCCCGTCTTTAACTGACCGAATCGATTGAAGAGCGGGCGACTCGACAATTACCGGAAATTACACACCGATCCCGCGTTCGTCCGCTCGAGCGACGTCATCCTTCGAAAGCTCGAAAACGATTTGGATCGAGAAAGAGAGCGACGGAGTGAGACAGACAGAGAGAGAGAGAAAGAGAGAGAG